CTCGAGATATTACTTAAAAGGCCTCATATGGAAGAAAGCTCTTTCAACACTTGTTCTTTCATTCATAAGACTCAAACTCGAGATATTACTTAAAAAGGAATCGAGTTTCTTATACTTAGATTAAGAGATCGTTGGTTGATCCCTTTTTTAGTTTTCAAACTTTATCTTAAATTTAGTTTTAAACATGATAGGGCTTAGATCATTTTAAATTTCAATACTTGAGATTTTTTAGAGTTTATTAGTATTTATAGTGTTAGGAATTAAATTTTTTAGAATTAGAATTTATATTATAAGGTTTTAGGGTTTAATATTAGATTTAAAATTTAATAATAACTTAAAAATTAAAATGACAAAGTTTAAAAATAAAGATTAAAAGTTGTTTTACCTAAAAAAAACAAAATAGCTATAGGAACCAATCTATGGCATTACTCCTCATTTATATATACTAAAAAATATTTAAAAAAAAATTAAAGTAAAATTCTTTATCTCCCGTCAAACCAAATAGAGTACGAAAGGGTCAATCAAGATGGTATTACCAGACCTCATTTCGGTTGAAATATTTTAGGAAAGGCATCATAAAAGTTGCAATTATTGGTTATAATTTTATTTTGGATTTTTCTAACCTATATTGGTATGAATTAAGAATATAATACCTATATTGGTATGAATTAAGAATATAATTATTGGATGCTTTTATATTAATTAATACTAAAAAATAAAAATTGACCTTTATTTAAGTAATTATCCAATTAAAATGATTTGTGACACCAATAATAAAATTAATGATAATTTTTGTATTTTTCCATACTAATTAATTTTAAAAACATATAATAATTGCATCCTAAGGCATAAGTAAAAGAAAATTCTTTTATTTTGGATGGTACAAGCCCCATCACGTAATTTGGGCCTGTAAAATCGAGCTTTGTAGGGTAGAATATCACTTTATGGGCCCAAATAAGCATAACCCAATGACCCAAATTCTGTATTTTGTTTTATTTTATTCACCATTGGGGAGTTTGGAGTAGATGTTTGGACAAGGAGAATTAATCTTGAGCTCCCGTCCGGTCAAAGAGGAAGAACACCGGAAAGATGATCCCGAATCTGCAGAGGTACCGAAATTTTGCAATTCCTTTAAAATTCGTTCATCAACACATCGTTCCTCTCCGCCGATTCTTGCACAATGGCCCGGACACCGTTGAAGAGCTCCTGGACAGAAGCGTGGTGAAGAAAGAGAAATCCCTAGATGACGATGAGGAAGAGTTGCTGAATCGGCGGCGACTAACCAGCACTAGGCACGAGGCGTTGAGTCTATACCGAGACATTCTCCGGGCAACGCGATTCTTCATGTGGCCAGATGCGCGAGGGGTCCTCTGGAGAGACATCCTCAGAGAGAACGCCAGGAAGGAGTTCGAGGAGGCTCGGTACGAGAAGGATCCAGAAATTATAACTCGATTGCTTATTGGCGGGCGTGATGCTGTGGAATCGGCTCTCGAGAAGCTGGCCGAGAAGCAGAGGCAGCAGATTGCCAAGGAGCGCGGTGGTGGAGATGGACGGTAAACAAGGATGGATCACAAATCTAACGCGTAAGGATATGTTGTTCAGTCATTTTTCTATTTAAACCATTACATAGATGTAGTCAATTGTAAATTTTGCTTGTCAATTGGAAATCCTGCTTTTGTTGTTCTGTGATTGTGAAAATGGAAGGTGGAATCAAATTAAAATGAAGTAACCATTTCAGTTTCAGTCTAAATTTCAATTGTTCCAGGCGCCGAGGCAATCCTAATTGTGCAATTCTCTTTTTTTGCATCTGTTGCTGCTAAAGATATTCAACTGAGATGTTTACATGGCAGTGAAAATATTGACAAGCAAATGCATTTTTCGACGAAATCTACAGTTGGTAAATAGGCCATTTTATGTATAACAAGAGCCTGGTTTAAAGACCCATCAAAAAGTTCATCTCTAGATTTCTTTTAGTGACTATCCTTCCTCTGATTTTTAGTACAGTGTCATTGAATGTGATCCTTTGTGTTATTTCTGTTGAGTGTTGACATTGACAAATCAAATTCGTTATGCTGGAGCCCGATTATAGGGATCAATGATTCTTTACTTCATAACTAAGCATATCATTATGATTTTGGTGCTTTGTGTTCTATCATGTGTATAACAAACATTGTATAGGTTATTGGCATGCTATTATATCTGTATCAGAGGCTAGTTCAAATCCATTATCCACCAGGAATCTAGATCTTGAAACCATTCCCAGCAATTTGACTTTCTGAGAATTTGTACACCATTTTTACTTCAACTTGAGCTGTGATGAGTTTCCATTTATTTTGAATTGGTATTTTCTGAATAATTATTATGATGAAAAGTCCATAGCTTAGTGTCCCTTCGGCCTTCCGCCGGGCCTAACATTGTTTTGTAAAGGCACTGTGGGCATTCCTAATAGCTGAATAAGCTTTTAGTTAAAATTATGAATGTATATGTGTACCAAAAAAAAAAAAAAGAAAAAGGAAATTACGAATCTATAACTTTTGAAGTATGTATAGTATTTGCAGTTTTTTTTTTTTTTTTAAATTAATTTTTTAATGCTATTTGAGTTCTTTGAAGAGAACTTGTGAATTGAGTTCTGAGGGATTTTATTGTTTATTTTTTATATTAGAGTGCATAATAAGAGGAAATTTTTTTTTAACTGTTAACTCATTCTATTTGTATACCATGATATTTGAATTCAAAAATTTTTATTTTTATCATAAGAAAATTACTATTGAATTATTTAAGTTGTTAACAAGTTTGAAGAGTTTGTTTGATATAATGATTAGTAATTTTATTTACTTTGATGGTTAATAATAATATTATTAATTAATTTAAATATTTTTATTAAATAAATAAAATTATTAATTATTAGTTTCAAATTATTATATTAAAAAGCACTTGAATCAAGAATATTTTGTTTGGTGTCTAACATTGCTGCGTTAGTCAGTGATGGCGGCCCAATACCATCTCAAGTTTTCTCATGTTAGACACAAGCCCAAGTTCTCATTCGATTTGGGCCTTGGGAGCCCAACAAGCTCAACTCATACAGAGATCTCCGAGGAATATTTTTCATTTTATTCATTTCATTTTTCCACTTGTAGAAGTTTCAATGTTTCACCCTGGAAATTTGGACAGCGCAGAAGTTGGAAAAGAGAATAAAAGTAAAACACGGTAGATTGACCTTCGTCCATGCCCATTGCCAAACAGGGTGCTGCCCACAAGGACAGAGTCGTAAACTATGAGCGTAATGAAATATCAAAAATACCCAACCTTGATTATTATCCAACACCGTCATATGGCTCACTCGAAAAGACACAGAGGTAATTTTGTCATTGTGCTTTCAATGGAGGTATGAATTTAAAATTTCCATTTCATTTCTAAGGTACAACCTCGCTTGCTCCGGTCGGTTCGTCCAGAATAAGCTTCCTTCATTCATCTCTGCCTCACAGCAAGTCTTCCGATTCAGTTTTTCTTTGAATCCTTCGAATCGGAGTTTCATCGAAGTTAGGGTTCCGGTTCCTCAGATCGATCCTTAAGGTTTCGAGCTTATTTTATGCCAGGAACAATGGTGAAAGTAAGGCAATCTCGGCTGCAAGCGAACAAATGGCTGACGATGAAGAATGTTCTCTCAATGCTGTTTATGCTAACTGTCGGCTTGTTGATTCTTCTTGCTCTGGGGATTTTCTCTCTCCCGCTGAGCAACGACGATTCTCCGCCGAACGATCTCACTACCTACCGGCGCAAGGTTTTTGAAAGGTAATCTAGTTCACTTGCTTTGTAGCAAGGTATCGGTATCTCTTAATTTACGGTTTTTGTTTAATTATTTGATTTATCTGTTGTGATTTTGGCGGGAATTTGTTGCAGAGCTAATGGACTGGGAAAGAGAGATGAACAGTGGACCGAAGTGATTTCCTGGGAGCCAAGAGCTTTCGTTTACCATAACTTTTTGGTTTGTCTACTGTATTTTCTTCTCAAATTACTTCGTGATGTTGATTTTTATATATCGTTTTTGAACCGAGTAATAAGGAGCCAATTCAGGAAAAAATAAAAAAAATAAAAACAATCTGGAGTTAATGACATTATATGATTTGATATTCTTTTCTAGGATTAAAATTAGCAGCAGATCTGGTTTCTGTAAGCGTGAATGCTCTTAGCGATCAATTTTTCAGAAGTTTATTTTTGCTCAGCATTTTTCTCAAAAGTTCAATCAATTCACGGTGTAGATCTTGTTCATCGTCTTCTCTCTCTTTCTCTCAATCACGGTGTGACATGAATTTCGGTTTATTGTCTTTGATACTGACTAAATCAGAGGCTACTGTCGTTTATCGTTTTTTGGTGCTTTCTGGAGATCTCCTTTGAAGGAGTAAAAGTCAGCAGCTGATCTGGTTTTTGTAATTTTTCAGAAGTTCGATTACTTCATGATTTAAATTCTTTATCATCTCTTTTGTGCTGACCAAATCAGAAGCTGAGTCCGGCCAAAAAAAAAAAAAAAAAAAACTCTGGCATTTATGATAAGTGCTTTTCCTAAGATTTCTTTACAAGAAAAAAAAATGAGCAGCAAATCTCTTCTTGT